TATCCTTTAATTAATAAATCATCAATTTTAGTTATTTCTGCTAATGTCTGGTTTTTAACTAAAACTTTCTTCATTACCCAACGAGTTAAATTTATAAAATAATTTGTAATTTCTTACCATGACAGTAAAGGGTGTAGCACTATGAACGCCGATTATGCACACACAGAGGAAAAGAAGGAAAGTGGCTACCGCCGCAGCAATAAATCCCAATATGTTCTTAGAAATTTCCATCACTAGTCACTACCAGGGACAAAAGGATTTCGCGGTAATTTTGGCCAAAAATCGCGGCACCGCGACAAGCCAAACTAGGCTAATTCGCGGCTATTTCGCGGCGGGAATTCCGAAAATCGCGGCATATTCGCGGCAACAAATCGAAAAATCGCGGCGAATTCGCGGCAAAAAATAATGTATTTACAGTGCTTAGTTAGAGTTCACATATTCTTTGACTATTCTATTTGATCGGCTCATGTCCCATGAGGATGTGATATCATCATATGATGTGATACAGGATGTCATACGTACTGTATGACGAATCTCGTTATCAATACTATATAACTTTCAACAGACGACAGGAGACATCATCATTCGACCATCTGCAATTCACAACGATAGCAATGGAATACTACGACCTTCTCAATCCTATTCCTCTATCCCTACCTAGCATCGAACCTCTACCCCTCGAAGTTTATATAAACCTTGACGACATCCTTTCCCCAGTCCCTTGCACGAACCTTCTTGAAGTTTTAACCACATCCCGTGGTAAGCCCATGGTTGTTCACGAAGACAACCTGTTTCAGCAACGATCGGAGCTGAAAAACAACATCAGTTACAGATGTAACCAATACCACGCGAGGAATGGAAATTGTCCTGCCACCATTACCACAGACAAGAACAGAAGTCTTCTTCTAAGTTTCAACGGCCCCACAACCATCCGGACAGAAGCCCTAACAGTCTAGAGAAACATAAGAAAAGACATCGGCTGCACGTCACTTACAATACCAAGCAAATAACGATGACGTTATCGATGACGAAATATCTGACAAGTGACGATTCAATAACAACACTGATTTAACCTACTGTTCGATTTCCTAATCCATTGTATGTCTTCTGGTCAACTTTATGTCGTTTGGTCAAGTTTTTTATGTCTACTGGTCAACTTTATGTCGTCTGGTCAACTTTATGTCGTTTGGTCAAGTTTTATATGTCGTTTGGTCAACTTTATGTCGTCTGGTCAAGTTTTATATGTCTACTGGTCAACTTTATGTCGTCTGGTCAAGTTTTATATGTCTACTGGTCAACTTCCATATACGATCTCGGAAGTCAGACCTCCCCTTCGCATTAATACGAGCTCGGAAGCGGGAGCTCCGCCTTCAGATGTACGTATCGAGAATGACTCGGACAGAAAATTTTCTAAGTCAAAATTTTTTCAAAGTTTTTCTGGAAACTACTTTTGTTCATGTTTCATGCTACCCTGATCATTATGACCCAAAAATATTTTTTCGGTTTTCAAAAGTCACACATACCCTTCGATACACGATATTGGACTCGAGGGCTCCCCTTGTAATGCGATCTCAGAAGGCAGGCCTCCCCTTCGCAATATGAGCTCGGAAGCGGGAGATCCGCCTTCAGATGTATGTATCGAGAATGACTCGGACCGAAAATTTTCTAAGTCAAAATTTTTTCAAAGTTTTTCTGGAAACTACTTTTGTTCATGTTTCATGCTACCCTGATCATTATGAGCCGAAAAATTTTTTTCGTTTTTCAAAGGTCACACATACCCTTCGATACACGATATTGGACTCGAGGGCTCCCCTTGTAATGCGATCTCGGAAGACAGGCCTCCCTGGCCTTTCGCAATATGAGCTCGGAAGCGGGAGCTCCGCCTTCACTTTCAGAGGTATGTTATATGTATCGAGAATGTACCTACAATCAGAACTCACGGAAGGCTGAAAATGTGATTGGTTTCATATACTTGTAGAAAACGTGACATTTGGCCCGCAGATTTTATGGAAAATACGCAAACTTGGTCCTCAGATTTTAAGGAAAATGCGCAAATTTGGTCCCCAGATTTAAAAGATAATGCACAAATTTGGTCTTCAGATTTAAAGGAAAATGCGCGATTTTTCGCGAAAAACTGAAAAAATCGCGATTTGTCGCGGAGAATGGGAGATTTCGCGGTCTGTCGCGGAAAACGTAAAAAATCGCGATTTGTCGCGGAGAAAGGGAAATTTCGCGGTTTCGTACATGCCGCGAAATCCTTTTGTCCCTGGTCACTACTCGGTACTTGACCTTTCCACTATTTGGGGTTGATTTTTTCTCTTAAGTTGTTTTTCGGTTTTATCAGGAGATGTACATATTAATTCAACGAGGTATGGATTTAGCAAAGTGAATAATAAATAAAAACGACGATCAAACATATTCGACTGTTCAGCAGACTATTAGATCATTAAATTCTTAAATTACAAGTTAATTCCCTCATTTGAGTCATGACCCAACTTCTCAACGGTGTTGAAATATTACTGGGTCAGGACCCTTAATAGCTTCGTCGACACATAACAGTAGGGGAGATAATAGATCTTATCAATTATTAGGAATGACCAATTAAACCTAACAACTTAAGCGCGTGTAAATAATTGAGACCATGAAAAAGGGCGGTAGTAACTGGTAAAAGTAAAAACATTAAAATATCGTTAAATAATGTAATCGCAACGAACAAAGTTCCGTATAAAAGTAAGTGAGACATTTTCGTGAGGCTGCTAGTGAGTTTTCTGAGCGATTTATTAAATGAACCAACCCACGTCTGCTTATAACATTGTAGACATGAATCGAACATTTGAAAATTCCATTATCAAATCAAAGAACTACTGGAACCAATAGATGTGGCGACTGGCGAGATCTAAATTAAAACCTGAAATATTGAGTGATCATATTGCTCAGTCGGACAGTTTGAGTGTATAAGAACAGTTCCAGGTGCAGGTCACGTGATCTTCACGGGGGACCACGTGGTATATTTTGGTTTGTATCACGTGACACTAACTCTATTATAGGTATCTATAAAATTAACAGTTGCAAGTTGGTTTGTATTTTTTGCACTTTACTGTTTTTGGATGAGGATTACATTTACCTACTTCATTATATTATGTAGTTAGATCATCTGAAATATAGATAATGAACTTTATGTGTAAAGTTACGTTTCTAACTTATTGTTTGTATTTACCACGTTACTAGGATACCACGTGTCTACGTTGCTAGGATTGTAACAGATGGCCACGTTTTGTCCTTCGTCTGAGTAACGACCCTGAAACCGGATAACCCTGAAACTGGTTGGTATTACTATATCATACAGATCACGTGACATGAGTGGGCGGCTGATGTGGTCACGTGTTCTACGAGCTCTCTTCTTGGCGCTATTACTGAAGGAAAATTGTGTTTCACCCTTGCCAACGGTATTGAAACTTGAGTATAAACTGGCGACGAAACATACGAAACATACGAATGCCATCTATATACAATTTTAAGTTTTAACTGAAACGCTTGAACTGTTGGAGTACTATTTTCGCTATTTTGCCAAAATCTACTATCGTTCATAAAGCGTGCTTTTGAAACTTTTTTGGTTGGGTCGAATGTTTTATAACGGCCTTTTGGTCAGTAAAGCATTCGACACCACTTTAGAGAAACACGGGTTCCTAACAGAGACAAAAGGAAATCGCAGCATGTGCGGAATTTCGATTTTTCCTATTATTTGCGACAAATTTTATGTATAGTCTTATGTTTAGTCTGTTAAAAATCGCGGTATCGAGATTTTTGGGCAAAATGATCGCGATTTTCTTTTGTCCCTGGTTCCTAAAGCGTGCCCGCGCCTGCCGGCCGATAAAAGAAACTACACAAGTACACAACGAGCGTAAAATCTTGTCCTCCCTACAGGGCTTGTTCAGGATTGTTTTAAGATGGAGCGTTTAGTTTATTATATCCGAGAGAAAATAGTTGGTGTGACTCTAATTAATGAATCTGAAATACATTACATATTAGATTTTATCCCAGGTATACACTTTATTTGCATAATTCGAAAGTGACCGCACAACTTTGATACCTTGAGCTTAAACATCAACATCGCTCTACTCAATTTCCGAGTCTATCATTTCAATTCGATTACATAAAATTACAAAAACAGCCTTCTGATTTTAAAAGAACTAATTTCGACATAATGTCACTCATACAACTAAACAGTAAATATACTTCTACTAATACTAAACATAAACACACAATATTTAATCAAATATTTATAAATTCACGACAGAGATGTATTTAAGAAATTCAAGATATATTCAAAATGTATTATTCTTTTGCAACACAAACTCAGTAAAGCATAAAAATTCGAAACCTACAAAAAACATACTGTTTATAAATTCTATTGTTATTACCCAACATATAAACAGAACCCCACGTGATGTTTCACTATGTAACATAGTATGTCTGACTACCCCACTATGTTATTTAAATACGATAGTAATATAATTATAAACCTAATAGTCATCCTATCCTAACTAAAAGTAAAGAGTTTGTCCATGCTATTATTACAAGTTAAATTGAGCATATTACAGGATTCCACAACACGTGTTTCAGCACGTGTTCCAGCACGTGTTCCAGCACGTGTTGCAGCACGTGTTCCAGCACGTGTTCCAGCACGTGTTCCAGCACGTGTTCCAGCACGTGTTCCAGCACGCGTTCCAGCACGTGTTCCAGCACGTGTTCCAGCACGTGTTCCAGCACGTGTTCCAGCACGTGTTCCAGCACGTGTTCCAGCACGTGTTCCAGCACGTGTTTCAGCACGTGTTTCAGCACGTGTTCCAGGAATCGCAGGAAGCATTGTACTATTCACGCGTATCAAGAAATCCTAGCCCAATGTTACCAATGCTTGCAACAACAGAAGCAACTACACACGCGTATCAAGAAATCCTAGCCCAATGTTACCAATGCTTGCAACAACAGAAGCAACTACACACGCGTATCAAGAAATCCTAGCCCAATGTTACCAATGCTTGCAACAACAGAAGCAACTACACACGCGTATCAAGAAATCCTAGCCCAATGTTACCAATGCTTGCAACAACAGAGGCAACTACACACCCGTATCCGAAATAGAATGTCGCATTGTAGCTAAAGAAACTAGAGTATGGGCTGCTATTGTATTCCGCTATATCAACAGTCAACCAGATGAAGGCAATAAAGGCACACAAACCTGAAATTAGCAGAAATTAGTAATTAGTAATTAGTAATCAGTAATTAATAATTAGTAATTTTTTATTAGTATTTAGTGAATACTGTATATTACTAAATACCGATAATTAGAAATTGTGAAAAAGAAAACAGAAGGTGTGTGGTGTCCGTATAGCTGTATAGGTACATACCAATTTTCAATTCTAAGATATTTGGTTGGGGAGGCGGATTATCGTTGTGAAGTACTGTACTACTCACGAAGTGCTGTACACGATGTTTTCAACCCACGAGTCAGAGAGCAATTGCTCAACTGGCGGCTCCCAGATGACGTATGCACATGTATCGGTGAATCGGTCTGATCAAGTAGTTGATCAAGTAGTTGGTTAAACTTCAATCCTTGTTCATTCTTTTTATTTCTGCCCTAAACTTTTACACTGTTAAGTCAGGTAAACTTACCAGAAATTGCCGCGATTGCAACGACGAGCATGTTAACCATCTTCTTATCTGAAATAACAAACATGTAACAAATATGTATTATTATTAACAACAATAATTTATTAATTTATTTTCATTCATCGTATATTTGAACAACGTGAGCTGTAGTCTATTGGAATTAGTATGAATAGAACGATTCCACTCCTGGCTGAGCTATATTTTAGTTCTAATCATTATAATATTATGAAAGTTCTCACTGTCATTGATGACTCCTATCTCCGTGCCTGACAGGAAATAAGCATTGTCAATTTATTAAGTTAAAAGTTGTTAATTTATTAGGTTAACAGTTCGTAATTAGTATGTAAAGCTATACTTTAAATATAGAAAGACATGTCTAAATCTATCTTATACATGATGTTATAAAAGAGTACTTGCCATTTGCGTTGAGTACGACGAGTAGTCTAATGATAGAACACAGTCCAACAGCCAGGAATGCTATAAGGACCTTAGGAATTTCATTATCTTTTAACAATGAACACGCTCTTCTTAAGGTATCAAAAAATGGTTTAGTACTATGTGACATGGAGGAATTTCAAAACTCAATCTGATTTTGCTTTTTTAAATAACTCACAAGGACGACAGATTCTTTAACATTCCACAGACATAGCGGGATAAGGAGAAGGATAGTCGCAACCACTGATAAAATCAATCCGGGCACGCTTCTTTCAGCCATCTTATGTTTCTACATTGATTTTGGGGTTAATATCGTTAATGCGTCTTCCAAAGTTGGATGACTGATGCCCCGCATGATGGTCGACCACCTTTATTAAATCAAAATGTGAAAGTAACTTTATTGGGTGTAGTGCGGAGGTGGAACTAATTGACATGTGCAATGTGCATGTGTTGACACGTGTCAGCTGATTTCCTTACCGCTGGTCCGCTGTCACGTGCACTAATATACTTAATCCGTTTTCGTTGGTAAACAAACTAAATTGTGGCTATCACGAAAGTATTTTTAACAAGCAGCTCAACTCGACTTAGATAATCATCGGAACTCATGTAAAAAACATAAACATATTAGAGACTAGACTCTAGAGTAATATGAAATATCATTATCTTAGGGTCGTTAAACCAACCAACAACATGCGAAAAATCAAACTAGGAAAAATCAAAAGAGTTTGGGGACGGGTTTATGGAAAAGAGACAAGAGTAAAGTACGGCGTAGGCCCAATGATCAGGCGGTATTTTGTACGTTTCCTGCAGAAATCTAGCATTCCAGCATTCCATAATAATGAAATTAAATAGATCTATGGTTAGGGTATTTTCCATAAAAAGATCTGTGCGTCTTACACTCAAAATTTGAATATGTCGACAAATTGAGAATTTTCTCCAAAAACCAATTACATAATCATGATAGGTTAAGTCATAAATAGATGCCGATGGGTCACAAAATTAAGATCTTGAAGAAATTCTTAAGAATTTTTAGTTTTCTAAATGCACCACGGCGAGCAAGCAAACCTGGCTATCAGCATCCCACATCTTATCTGGTATCTACTTCAACTGTAGTTGGAACTGCTAACCAAGTTAACCTCATTCTAAACGAAGGTTATGTTGAAAGTGATTGAATTATGATAAATGTTAAAATACTAAAGAACTTGGCGAGGAATTTTTAAATTGTTCTAGACAGACTTGTCAGCGAAGAAAATGTAAATGATATGTTTTCCAAAGCTTGTTTTCTAAATAACGAGTGGAATTTGACCTCTAAGACATGAAGGCTATACAAAATAGACTATATTGTTGAGCAACATTAAACATGTGCGGTGGATACGGAATCGCACTATTGACCGCAATTTTTCGCACCATCAGCTGATATTTGTTCCATTATATTTGTGTAATTGGTACCGTTGTTTATAATGAGATAAGATCGAAATGCCTACAATTACTATGGTTAGGGTCAAACGATTTTCATGACGTAACATCGGAAATAAGGATTACTTTTACAAATCAGATGACAAGATCCACCGTAATTAATGCAGCAACTTTTAATATTATCGATATTTTATGAAGAAACAAAAGAGGGTAAAGAGGCCGAATGATCTTATATAATAATGTAATTATATTTATAGTTAGAAAATATTACAGTTTTCCGGACTTAGTTTTAGCTTCTACACACTATTGAATACTCTGCATAAATTATGCTCGTCAACTAGCCCCATTTATCCATCTAAATGTAAAACCTTCTGTGATGGTAATTCTAGAATTAAATTAAATATTAATATATTAAATTAAATAAAATCTTAAATCTAAAATTATAAATCTAAAATTTTCAGAAAGGTACCCCTAGTTCAACACGTATTGTAAAAAACCCTTAAGTTCGACTTTACAGGGGGATCATGCACTTAGTACTGGACGTGACGTTGGGGTGGTGGGTCATATTTTCTTTCAAAACACAGTTAGTACTTTTGTACTAAGTGGTGGGTCTGCTGCTCATTTCCCAGAAAAACAGTTAGTACATGGTACTTAGGGGGTATCTTATTTTATATACCAAGACACAGTTAGTACCGTAATTTCTCTTAAGGGGGTGGGTGTCTGAATTATTATCTGAAAAAAAGTTGGTACTGCAAGTGCAAAGGCCAGGGGATGGGTGGGTCTTTTGAAAAATTCCAAAATTACACTTAGTCGACGTCACGTACAGATTTACAGAACTTAGTACCTGATCCCGGCCCCCGGCAAAAAACACTAAAATTTGACCAAAAACCGACCCTTCTTCCTGAACAATTTCAGCTACGCTGTTGAATAATCAAACCTGAGAGTGCCTAAAGTTTGCAAATTTGACGAATTGGTCAGCTCTGAGCTCAATTGCGGTGTTTTTGTCTCAAAATTTGCCGCACATAAAAACATTTAGAGTTTAGACAGATGCAGATTCGCACTATTTGCAAAATATTACCGCACCTAAAATGTTGCGTCCGAACTGTCACGTGTCAAAAATATACTTCGCCAAAGTCCACATCAGTAGGTAGTAAACCTACAACATCACTGATGTATGAAGATATAAAAACTATTGGTAAATGTGTACTGATTGGAATATGTTAATCCCAGAACAGCATTATCAACTCACTCTGTTGCTGTTTAATTTAATTTATTTAATTGATGCTTAATACAACTATTCTGACAATCTGACATATCGATTTCGAACTGTTAATTATCTCCAGAGATCATTTTTGGGACCTATATATTTAAACATTATCAAGATTTTTGCTATTTAAGATTTAAGCAATTTCATGTTGACTGTCACTCTCCCTATATTAATGTTTTACGAAACGAGGAATGTAAAAATATTTACTCCGCGCGTCTACAAATTCAAACAATTCCACACTAACAATGGGGTTTACATACATATAACAACACATAACTTGACCCCATGAGAAATATGAAGCAGTGGCGAGACTGCCTAATGACTCTTCAACGTCTCGAACGAGTTGTGGTCAAGATATTCAACATAACATGAGGATAATTATACATTTTGTTTAGTGTTGGATGTAGGTTTATATCGCACCGAGCTGTGTTGAAACAGATATTTACGGGTATCATCTGTAAATGGATGCAGTGGGTTATGAAATGTATACGATCTATGGAGACAAAATGGGCACTATCCGTCGCGGAGTAGAGTCCGCGGCGGAGCCGCCGGACTCCGAGCGGACTCCGAGCGGACTCCGAGCGGACTCCGGCGGTGCTCCGCCAAAATGTATTTACACTGGACTCGAGTACATTTTGGCGGACTCCGAGCGGAGCCGAGCGGACTCCGAGCGGACTTTAAAGTCCGCCGCGGACTCCGAGCGGCTCCGCGGCGGCTCGGCGGAGTGTCCGCCGCGGACTAAGCCACTAGGCGGACTCCGGTCCGCCGCGGACTCCGGCGGAGTGCTTGGCGGACTCCGCCGGACCTCTCCGCCAGACTTGAATCCGGCGGAGTCCGGCGGAGCTTGGCGGACTCCGCCAGCTCGGCGGACTCCGCTCGGAGTCCGCCGGACTCCAACAGAGTCCACTGACTTCCGAAATCCGACTTCCAACCCTCGGCTAAATTTGTCACGTGACATACAACATAGCATTTTGCAATATTGTGGTCAGATGAAAAGGTCGCTAGTGATAAACCTTAACCTAGGAGGTGCACGATAAAAATAAACTTGCTCGGATTTTAAAAAATTTTGTACCAGTGTTTTCTAGAGACTGTGAGAATTTTCACAATACCAAATTTGTCATACCTTTTTGGAAAGATCAGTGAATTTCGCCTAAGTGCCATATTTGATGGTGCGCGGCTTTTGGAGCAAAAGTAGCTGTAAAAGTCGCGTAATTTGACCAAATTCGTCCAAATTTGACCATTTTTGTCGTATTATTCGGATTTATCTTCAGTTCCTTAAATGAGATCATTCTGAAAATTGGCGACGACCTTCCAATAGGGCTTTTACAACTGTCCGAAAAATTTGGTGGATATCGCAGTTGATATAGTGATCAAAATGGGGCAAAATACGCTGCTTTTAGCATAATGTCTGTTAATTGGATATGCTTTAAATTTTTCGGACACTTTCCTTGTAAGTCTATGAGTAAGCTTACCAATTTTTGTTGCAATTGGAGGTCGGGAAGGATACTCAATATTTATTTGTTTGAAGAAAATTGTGCTGGCCGAAATTAGCGCTAAAAAACCATCCTACAGTCGGCACGCGCGGCTCACTGTCGATGGCGCACTACCTACTTAACCATTACCCTCACAATGTCAATAGTGTACAACTCTAGTCCTAACTTTGACCCTATAATGTATAAACGTTGACCCTAACCCTCCACCAAACCGTCCGCAGCGAAATATCAATGTCATTGACTGGTCACGTGACCAAAACAATTTTTGTCATATTATCTCATATAGGGAAGCGTTTTTAGTTTTACCCTACACGTTGCATGTGGCGTCATTCGGCCGGATCCCAGCAAGCAAAAATACGTCGACCATCACAGGACGACGCCAGCCAGCACTCTCTACGCTCTTCGAGCTCCGATCGTCCTGTGACGAAGTAAGGACGAAGCCTGAGGTCCTCAGGTAACATCGACCACCGATTGAAAATTCAAAGATTTTTTGACATAAAGGTCAAATGTAAAACTAAAATCTTGATGTTGATTGATTGACGGCGTCAATTTCTTTGGCAAATAAAATTCTCTTTTTCTTAAATTCTCTCTTTCTTAATTCTTGTTCATTGAAATATTACCGCCAGCGAGGAGCCGCAGCTGCGACTGCAAGCCGTGTTACCCATTTCCCTGTACTGTATTGTGATCAGCATGAGTTTAATCAAAGTAATGTGTATCACTCGCTTCACTCGATCCGAAATTAAAGTATATAATCCTACAACGCCAAGCTAGTAATAGAGTTTTATGAAAGCACTCTGGCCAAGTCAGTGGATTCTTTTTACCTAATTTTACCTCATCCCATTAAGGAACGCGCGCTGGGTAAAAAGAAACCTAGCCAGAGTGGAAGTCGGCGCCCTCATTAAATTTTTGGAGAAAATCGCTCGCCAAAATTTGTTGGACCAGGACGATGTCCTAGCCTGGCAGCTCATTGCGCGTCGCAACGAGCTTCGTTGTTCGTCGACGTGCGACGAGCAACGAGAAAAATTGTGTGGCACGTCGGGTGGCACATCTTAACGGGGGATACGCGTATAAATTTCGATCGCTGACGTACAGCGAGCAGCACAGCTGTGAGTGGCGTCAGCTAGTAGGATTTCATCCTACAAGGCACATCGCGTTTACCTAGCTAACCAGGTCATTTCCGCCTCCGGCGGTCGCGCGCTACTGCAAGCTTACCTGAGGACCCCAGGCTTTAATGTTGTTAATAGAGATTAGGCAGAATGACAGGCTGAGCGCGGCCCAGTAACTGCAAGCGAGAGGGCTATAGTTAGACTTAGAGCAACACATCGCGCCACAAGCCGAATATTTATCAACATCCCAGGAAACCTAACCGTTAGGGGCCTAACTTCGGAAGTAAAAAAGATAGAGACTTCCGGTTTTTTGCAAAATGTTCGTCTTGTAAAAATAACGTTACCTCCCCAGGAGGAAAATTGGGGCTTCTCATTTTAAAAAGTTATTACAGAAAAACTGTTTTTGATGCTGCGCGCAACAAGCTAGAAAAATAACTTTGCAAAATAAACCCGTTGTTATGCGTGTGACGTCATCATGCATGACCATATTTGGAAATGCGCGTGAAGATAAGTGATAAGAGTACGTATTTTGCCGATCGCCTGCAGCACTTATTACGAAGTAGTTTCCAAAACTGTTATAGTCTTTTCTGTCCATTTTGTTGCTTTGGGATAATCAAGTGGATCCCATTAATTTTAATTGAAGTGAACACTGTTTTGAACAAAATTGAAAGCGTCTTTCGATTAAACAAATGTACAATGATTTCACATCTGAATGAGTAACTATCCAGCTGCTCAGTAGTTCTTATCTTATGTGCTGAAAGTTCATACTACACTCGATGAACTTGCTGTGCACTGCAGTAACAGAATATTTAGAACTTTTGACTCAAACACAAAACATCTGGCTCGTAAAATTACACAAACAAACATCATATGAAGACCGCCTCTCTCTTCGCAATGATTACGTAATGTAAATGGCCCGAGGCCCCAAACATCTGCTTTCAGGGCCTACATGACAACGCTAAAATTTAAATAATAAGAGCAAGATGCACCAATTACAATAAAACAGCTGAGAGTCGTTCCGATCATATGTTAAGACATCACTTTTCAGCCTATTTTAGCTCCCTTACTCCCTATATAACCAGTTTTACAGTTACAAGTTAGTTATTGTGTTAAAATTACACAAACGTTATCATATAAACACCGCCTCTCTCTCCGAGTGGGCTCCGATTACGTAATGTGAACGGCCCCAAACATCTACTTTCAGGGCCCTACAACGCTATAAATAATTTAAATCATAAGAAAGCAATTCCTTACACCCCAGTTCCACGGCCGGATATTATGCCAAATTATTAGACGGAGATCGTCTACTGATATTTCTCCGGTTTGCAGTTCCATGACCGGAGACCATCTACGGTAATTTTGTTGATTCTGTATGATTATGTATGAATTAATCTCCGAGAAATTCCCGGAGAGCTCAGAGCTTAATCTCCGTCTAATACAGTTGACGGAGCCGGAGAATCATCTCCGGAGATGATCTACGGGAAATGGACCTCCGTCTAATAATTTGGCATAATATCTGGCCATGGAACTGGGGGGTTAAACCAATTCTAATAAAACAAATATTTATAGGTTACTCATTTGTTTCACATTTCAAAACAGCTCGATCCAATCCGGTGAGTAAGTTAGAATGTTCTGTCTTTGCAGATATATTTACGCTACAGTTCCTTCAGACGAATGTTGAAAATGTTCATGATCTTTAAGTAGACTCCCTGAAAAAATTTGGGTAGACATAAATAATACATAATATCGACAATACAATCAAAAAGAAAATATGCGCGTATGTGCGCGCGCTTTCTGTTTTACTTAACTGACACTATTTGCTTTATACATCATAAGTAGTCAAAAACTTGCTAGAACAGTAGAAGAATGTGAATTAAGCTATCTCTTTTTATATGGAATGGCTGGAAAAGGGTGTCACCTTGACATAGAGGCACTGTAAGATTCAGGGCCGCGCGCGTCTGTTATAGAATTCTTAATTTAAGATCATATTAATACTTACGTGTTTTTGACGATTGCAGTGAAGGATAGAAAACATTTGGCAAGCTGACAGAGAAACATAACTTCCCTTCCATCGGACACCGGTCCAAAATGAAATTCTTATCCTCATCTCAAATGAAGTTTTGGTGTATTTAAGAGATGGAACTGTCACCCTTCGAATTTCTGTCTGAAGTTAAGATAACATTATTATAAATAACATAATCACCATTTGGGACAGGTGCTAACTATTAAACCACCAAAACATGTCTCACCTACCCCGGAACAAAAATCCACTACACACATCAAGGAAACGTGCTCTCAGAGATAGACATAACTTACCTTTCGTACAGGGAAAGCTGGACACCGGTCCTAATTCTTATCCTCATCTCAAAAGAAGTCTTGGTGTACTTAAGCGAAGGAACTGTCACCCTCCGAAACACTGTCTGAAGTTAAGATAAGATTATTTTAAATAACATAATCACCATTCAAAAAGGGATATGAAATATTAAACTATATTCCAAGAATCGGAAAAAATGACAATTTTGTTGTAATTTGATTTGAACGTTCTCAATGAGCATAGAACAGAGCTGATAGTCAGGTGATGTCATATTCACGTTAAAATGTTACTAAACAGACTTAAAACTGAATGAAAATCACCTTGTATTGTACAAAATATGAACGTAGTTGTGGCAAAGTCAGATTTTCTCTACGATATAACCAGGAAGGTGAGGGGTACTGAGCTGGTACTCAGAAGACTTACAGTACAACCAGTTGTAATCTTGTAGGAACATATCAACACAGTTCAATTCTGCACTCACACTTAAAATACAGTTAAAATATTTTAAAATAAAATAAGGTATAGTCTGCTAATACAAAAATTGTAGCTGGAAAAATAACATACTGTAAAACATCAAGCTTGTAGATGATGTTTTACAGCATTAAATGAGCAATGGCAGGGAATATATTTCTCGAGCGAATGTTCTAAGAGCAAAATGTTAATTCGATTACTGTGAAACGTGAAAATAAGGATAAACTCCCTGCCATTATCCCACAAACGGTTAATCATAGCCAACAAAATCTGCATCACCCACTGCTTACCAACGAGGAGGTCTTACCTATTAAAGCAGCATCAGATATTTGTTATGTTTTTACAAATGATTTAAAACGTTACAAAATTATGATTCTTATAATTACAATAACAGACGATAAAATAATAATAAAACGAGACACTGACCTTTTCCAGAAGAAAACAAGCTTAACATGATACTTTTACTACACCAACTAAACTTTACCCTGCATTTATTTAGCAACTACTTCCCAACTACTTTGTAAAAATGTAAGTTACTACATCAAATCCCTTCCCTATCTTTCATAACTAAATTTGGTAGCTCATTTCCTTCCTGGTGTGAATTCCAAGGCAGTCATTGAGCCAGCTCAACACTATGATCCACAATCTAGCCTAATGCAGTGTTTTTCAACCACACAACTAGCAGGATCGAATAGGGGATCTTAACTCAATGAGTACTTCATGGCTCCTCACACAACAGTCAATTTCTCAATCTTTCTCTCAAAAATAATGTTAAAAATGTATATAATAAACAAATAATTTTCGCAACTACTCTTTTTGGATTCAAAAACATGTAAACATGTTTTGCTCGACAAATTTTCGTTGAATTTTGTTGAATTTAGTCAAGATAAAAATATGTAATAAAAATAATATAAATGCAATGACTTAACTTGGAATAAATCAATCATAAAATAAATTTGTCACGATACATAAAATAACTGCAATAGAATCAATCTGACTTATTTAATACTTACACCGAACAATTGACACAAAATAAATAATACTTGAAATCGACACAAAATAAATCATACTGAATGATACAAAATAGGTTACAAGGACTTGCTTGCTCTAATATTTATAGTGATCTGTACATAAAATAATTGTGAGTATTAATTTCATAGGTGAGCTTGTTCAAGACTTCGAGAGCTATGAGCTTTAATTTTTGTTTTTCTCTAAGTTTCTTGACAAACTGATTGTCCTCAATGGAATCGGTTGATTGCCTATTAGTAATTAATTTATCTACGGCACCTGATAGTTTGTCGATGTCTTTTTGGTAAGATAACAATTTGGTGCTTATGAGTTCAATTGAGTCCGTAATCCTACTTGTATAGTATGCTAATTCATTATGCTGTCTATTATTATTACTGTCTTTTGGATCCTTAATACAACTAGATGATGCCAAGGCTAATCTGCGACTACTACTGTCTAAGTGAATAATTTCATCTGGGACTGCGTTAAGAATTTTGGAAATACATTTAGCCATGTTGCTGTGTTTAAGCTTATCGTATTTTTCAGGATCAGAGGGAAACATTTCAATCAATAATTTCAACATTGACGAAAAGTTTGCTGGCAGCTTTTGTCTGCTAGGATTTTCCCTATCAATGTTAATATTTTCTATTATTTCGCTTGACGTTATGATATCAGGTGTTAATAGTGGGCCCTGACCTAATAGTTTACGCAAATTGGAGAAATCTACCCCACCATTGACAAAAATGTTGCAAGCAAATTTCTGATAGATAGCAGCTTTGGTATTTAGAATTATCTCAATCGTTGATGTCAATATATTGTGGATTGGGAAATCAGGAAATAACTTTGATAAACATGGTGGGCATGATGACAGACAGTTTTCTGAGCGACATTCTCTAGAGGAAAAGAATTTAAGGTCGTTTTCCGAGGACAAACTCATATATCGTTCATTAGTATTGGAAACGACAAAATTTGAAATGCGATAAACGTGTCCTGCAAAGTCTTGGATGTTGGACGTTATAAATTCTTTGGTAAAAACAATGTCAGGAATAGGACTTCTTTGATGAAATGCAGTGATGGCAGAAGAAACTGTGCTACGATAAGTTTTGAAATTGTTTGCAGTTTTAAAGTATCTGGAGATTTCTTGACGTTTTAGGACATTAAGCAGGAAACTCTCTTGAAAGTGTTTTCGATTGGTAAAACTGTGAGCAGAGACCTTCAGTTGCCGAAAAATATCTTCCATGCGTCCGGCATGCACTGACAAAAAGTTAGTAAGTTCGAATGTTGGACCCATGTAGTAAACTATGCCGAGGAAGTAAATAGAATTAATAACTTTAAGAGCAGTAGGTATCGTAATCTGTATTTCTTTCAAAGTTTTAAACCATACAAAAATTATATTATGAAGCAGCAATGTGGAGGCACCTGACCGTTTAGACTCATCTTTGTATCCAAATATATGAATTTCTAGAAGTGCTCTGAAGTAAGTATAATAAAGGCATTTAGGACATTTGGTCACAATTGACAAAGTAAAAATATCCCCGCAAATATTACAGGACAACCCGTCTGGAAATAATTTCATTTCTAGTTTCTGGACAATTTCAATTAAATTCTTAAAAACTGACTCGCCAGATTTTTCGTGTTTTGATCCGTAATCAAAATTACAACAATTGGATATAATCTCATGTACTAATTTTAATGGTCCGTCACCTTGAGGTCCTGGAATGTGTTTGAATGATTTGAGGGTTTCGCCTCTGAGACCATGAAGACATTCATTTCCCAAAAGTTCAGCCCCTTCAAGACCAATTTCTTCAGGTGATTTATCAGGAGTAGCCATGAATAGAATAGGGGGTCGCCTTATACCCCCTAAGTCATTTTTCAAAAACTCTTTTATCTGTTCGCTATTCATATTATCAAGACGCTTATGTGGCCATCTTATTTTCATTAGTTCTAATGCTGAGGCGGGTTTATCTTTTAAATCTTGTAGCGATTTTCCGCGATTTTCAGGATTTTCGAAGAACCCACCTTTATTAGCATGTTTTGTAGTTTTGTCGAATGTCATGTGTTCAAATTTTACAATTTCGTAATATTCATAATGATCTATAGGGAAGCATTCTAATAAGGTAGGATTACGATACGGTCCACTCTTGTTTGAACCATTCTCAACACTCCTTACAGGCGCATCGCCATTCACAAATTTTAATCTGTCCGTGAATTCGATTCCGCAGTTTGTTTTAATTGTAACTTTAAAGGCAGCTAACTGGTTAGTTCTAAATTCTTGTAATGCCTCTTCGCTTTTGGTTGTCGAAGGAGACATAGCTATGTAATGGATGTAAATTTGCTCGACAGCTTTTTGTAAATCCCCTTCACATAGATCATTTGATTGGTAAAGGGACTTGCTGTATAAAGGCCAAACGACAAAAAGGATGTAACTTCTGTTTAAAATAACGGCGTGATCATACCACATTGCAAAGCTCCTTGTAGACTCAGCTTCTTCAAGTTTTTTTCTAAGAAAACTTTCGTCGTATTTTTGGAAGTCGCTCTCACAAATCAAACTATAACTCTTTAAGGTGCATTTCACCTCGTCAATCGACAAATTTTGGTAATGCTCTTTTGGTTTGGCCTTCAAGAAATTATTACCAGACTGGAAACTTAGGGAATGTTCTCTAATTGACATAAGGTCAACTAATCGTGAGTTAGCTGCTACCTGTTTAGGACATGATTTAACCAAATCCCAACCTTCATACAAAAGTGGTATCTGGGGAGTCCCCAGCAAAATTGATTGGAGTTCTCTTAGTATTTCAACTTTTTCATCAGCGACACTAGCTGGAGGAATTCTTGGGATATAAAGATCGTCAACTAGAGGGTGGGGCTTGTAGCGTGTCCGAGCATTACTGTGGACAGCAAGTATGGGTCTTAACTCACTGTAAATACCATGATTTCTCGGAAGTAAAAGGTAATTTAAGCAGACAGATTGTGCATAATCGGACAATCTTTTCCCTCCTTTAGGGCCAGTTAAACTATATTTTGTACCCAGTTTAAAGAAACTTGGTTCGAAATGGTACGTAAGGACGTGCGAACAGTATTCATTAAACAGGTCCCCAAGCTCAATATTTGGATCGGATGACTTAATGTGGCGATAATCTGGTAGATTAGACAGATGTTGCTCGATGTCTGTTTTAGAAAATTCAGTGCAAAATATAGTACGGTCTAAATTCTCGACCTGACTTCCTGAAAGACCACTGCCATAGTGGATAAGCGCACTAGCCTCGGTTAAATGATCATTGAATTTTGCAACATTGATGGTTAGTTCCGATTTGTACCGCTCAAATTCCACTTTTAATTCGCTCAAAGATATTTCGAAATTTTCGACACTTTTATCGTAGCTAGAAAGAATTTCGTAGGAAGTCCTGCAAATGCATTCATGGATTTCCTTAAAACTCTTTCCACGACCTAACTCGTTATTAGCAAATCCGGATAAAATTTTGTTGCATCTACTTTTCAAATTATCACCTCCGTCATTGTTTGACAAATTAAAACAAACACTACAAGGGACGCCTTCTACTTGTGGCCTACTGTTTTCATGTGAAATGCGAATTTGATCACTCCTATAAGTCTGCTTAAGAGAATCTAAAACCTCTTTATTATCGGCGATACACTTGGCTTGACCAATAATTCGACGAAAATTTCGCGAATCCAAGTAATTACGAACGTAACCAAAATAATGGGGAAATTGATTCACATGGTCTTCTACGCGTCCGTCAAATTCTGACAATACAAAATGTGCCAAAATGTACTTACAGAAAGGAAGCTTTGAGTATCCAGATTTGACTAACGCAGAGTATACACAGTCGCTAAGAAATTGAACTTCTATTTCGGTACGTGATCGTTTGCTCATTGTGCTAATAAAAACTAATTACCACGAACGAGGAAAATACAAAATGTACGGAAATAGGAAAGAAAATGTTGAATATATATATTGCAAGCGAGCCCCAGAAACAATCCTAATTATAGAATGACATATCTATAGGTAAAAGTATCCAACGCGAAATAAGAGCGCAAATTAGTACAGAAACACATATCGGCGCGGCGTGAAGGGATTGTTATTAAAAAGTTGAAAATTCTGCTTTTGAACTGTAAAATCGGTTTTGTTGAACGAAAACTAAAAATTCAAAAATTCTTTTAAAGATTAAATTTTTACCATCATTATCCAATCATTGTGAATATATTTATGGCATTTTGTGGTCAAATTTAACTATTCTTGACAGAATTCCTATGCGCGCGCAATCTAAACATGAATTGTAATGGCTAATTACTTGACAGACACGCGCGGTGTCTTCAGCTGTATCGAAACTATCATATTGGTGGCGCGCCCGCTGGCCGGTAACTTTTCCTGGGATCTTGACTAGCTACGCGGTCCTTTTCCGCATGCGCTCGCGCTGTGCTCAAAAATTGACGTCACGTCCAACGTCGTCAATCAATTAACATCAAGATTTTAGTTTTACATTTGACCTTTATGTCAAAAAATCTCTGAATTTTCAATCGGTGGTCGATGTTACCTGAGGACCTCAGGCTTCGCTTCGTCCTTACTTCGTCACAGGACGATCGGAGCTCGACGAGCGTAGAGAGTGCTGGCGTCGTCCTGTGATGGTCGACGTATTTTTGCTTGCTGGGATCCGGCCGAATGACGCCACATGCAACGTGTAGTGTAAAACTAAAAACGCTTCCCTATATGAGATAATATGACAAAAATTGTTTTGGTCACGTGACCAGTCAATGACATTGATATTTCGCTGCTGGCGGTTTGGTGGAGGGTTAGGGTCAACGTTTATACATTATAGGGTCAAAGTTAGGACTAGAGTTGTACACTATTGACATTGTGAGGGTAATGGTTAAGGTTTATCACTAGCGACCTTTTCATCTGACCACAATATCGCAAAATGCTATTGGCTATGTTGTATGTCACGTGACAAATTTAGCCGAGGGTCGGAAGTCGGAGGTCGGAAGTCAGTGGACTCTGTTGGAGTCCGGCGGACTCCGAGCGGAGTCCAAGCTCCGCCGGACTCCGCCGGATTCAAGTCTGGCGGAGAGGTCCGGCGGAGTCCGCCAAGCACTCCGCCGGAGTCCGCGGCGGACCGGAGTCCGCCTAGTGGCTTAGTCCGCGGCGGACACTCCGCCGAGCCGCCGCGGAGCCGCTCGGAGTCCGCGGCGGACTTTAAAGTCCGCTCGGCTCCGCTCGGAGTCCGCCAAAATGTACTCGAGTCCAGTGTAAATACATTTTGGCGGAGCACCGCCGGAGTCCGCTCGGAGTCCGCTCGGAGTCCGCTCGGAGTCCGCTCGGAGTCCGGCGGCTCCGCCGCGGACTCTACTCCGCGACGGATAGTGCCACAAAATGTGGTTAAAAGTTTACAAGTTTACAAGTTTACAAGTTTACAAGTTACAAGTTTAAAAGTTTTACATGAAATGCTGACTAAAATCTAAAACAAGACACGGGAAGTCTTGAAAGATGTAAGTGATACGAGAGTTTGTGGTAATAATAGCACGAGTTTTTTTAAAAATGTGTTAGTCGTCTTCAGCGTGACCGAAAGTACCTTCTAGTTAAAACGAAGATTCCATTTCGTGTTGAATTAACGACCGTCTATAATAGCTATGATCATTTACGATCTAAGTTTATTTCTGATTTCATTTTCTACTTGCATGTCTCTAAAACATGGTGTTTATTTCTGGTTGAAAATCCCTGATATGACTTATGAGTTTATGGTAAGAATGGAAAGAGTTGATGTGTACAGCATTGTTACTGCCATTTCAATAGTTGAAAAAAGAAAAATAAAGTTTACGCCCCAAGTTTACGTTTCAAATTTACGCCCCAGAGTTACTATACGTATATTTATTACAGATAATACTAGTTTCAGCACCACATACAATATACATTACATCACACAATACACTCTCGTACCGAACAACTAACCGATCTCGTGAAGGAATTTATATGTATACATACCTTGAATAATTTCATCAATTGTTTTAAAGCTCATAAGTCTGATTTACTGCGTAATTCTATTCTACAAGGGCCTTGTTTTCGTAAAGGGACAGGACAAATGATCATTTGCTAATTCATTTTATGAAGGAAAATAATAAAGGGGTTTATTTTTGCTGGATACAACCAAAGTTATTGACGTGAATCCTTGAAATTTTGAGTACTTTAGTAGATAGACAAATAAGGCTGCGCAGTGAAATTTGGAGGAAATCTGCTCGTTGCTTTCCAAGATAACTCTTCAATTTTTGGTAAAGTTGAAGATTTATGTCAGACTTTCCCTCGTTCATTATGGCTCAAGATTCAGACAGTTTAAGGTAATTAATAATTTATAATCATTGTTATCAAATATTATGGTGGGTCATCAGATGTATATGAGAAAAGTTTCTAGGCCATGCAGATGAACTTAAAGATTTGTTTGCAATTCAGATGAGAAACAGAAAGTTGCAAAGTAAGGGGTCGTTCACATATTACGTAATCAATATTTTGGCAATTTTTACCCCCCCCCCCGCCGTAATCAACCGTAATCAAGACCGAACCCCCCCCCCCTATATTACGTAATCAAGGTTTGACCCACCCCCCCCCCCCCCCCCCCCCCTTGTAATCAAGACCCAACCCCCCTCCTACAATGTAATTTTGTCGTTGATTTAATTTTATTACTGATTTAATTTTTATTACTAATTCAATTTTATTACTATAGATAACATGTAATGGCTTAACATGAACATGTAATAGATCTATTACATGTTCATATTAAGCCATTTATTTATTAAAAGCTATCACAACGGATTAATGAATGAAATAATCGCAAAGCACTTACTAAACGAAAATTGCATTTCGAAAATCGGTAAAAAATTTAAATTTTGATTACGTAATCAACGACTAAAACCCCCCCCCCCCCCCCGTAATCAACCGTAAGCATTTGAAACCCCCCCCCCCCTCGGCTGATTACGTAATATGTGAACGACCCCTAACCATGGTAACGGTGTTGAAACGCGCACGTGCAATTAACGTCATTTTGATCAGTTTTGTGATAATTACTTTGTGTTTAAATTGTTTTACATTTAAATCGGCTGTATTTTCAGTTGGATGAATATTTCTGTATGTGTATGTGATTACAATTTTATTTCAAAGAATACTACTAGCTTCCTCCCTGTTACCACGGGCTTTCTAGAAATATAATAAAGCAAAGGAGCAATAAAATGTGGAATAATAAATGATGCTCATCGGTTTTTCGGAAATTACAACATATTTTTATTTTTACCCGCAATAATAAAACCCGCCGAGTAAATTTTTGGAGTTCTGACAGGGTACAAGGCATAATAATTTTCGGAAAATCCGCCATATTTTTACCCGCCATTATTTTTACCCACCATAATATTAGTATTACCCGCCATAAATATACAAACTAAGGTATTTTACAAATTGTAACAAGATCTTGGGGGCCAGAGTAAAAGTCCAGAGCACGTCTGCTCTAACATGGATATAACTGGTTTCCCAATCATATAGTACAGTCAAATCCTGTTTACTTGTGCCTTCCCCAATCAGTCCGAGCATTTTCCCAGCCTAAACATTCTTTCTCGCCATTTGATTTTATTAAAGTTTCCATGTTGTATATTTCTGTATTATTTGTTGAAAGTATCAAATCAGCATCGGTTGACTTTATCGAAAGATTGTAACAAGATGGGTTGGGTATTGACAATGTCTATACCCAACCCATCTATTAATTAGCTATTAGACATGTCTCGACTCTCGAGCGTTCGATACAATCAAACACCAGACTATTTTAGATCTTCTTGTCAAAGCTGGATCCACAGACGACGATGTCAGGCTGGTAAGACTCCTCTTAGCCAACTCTATGCCCAAGGTTAGAGTGGAAGGATAACTATCTGCAGTGTTTTAGAGCCTTCTCCGGTCATTTCAGGGTGATAGCCTTTCTGGTAAGCTCTTCACTCTTGTCTTAGCAGGAGCTCTTATTGAATTTCGCCAGAGATTAGTAGAGTCTCCCCCACACATACCCATCCCTCCTATATCCAAAGGAGGAATGCCACTTGAGTAAGCGTACTCTGACGACCGTAATTTCATGAATGTAGAGAAAGAATCGCTAGAAGCTATCCTCCCAATACTCAATAGCCAAGGAAGTCGTCAAGGAGTTCAACATGTTCATCAATACAGATAAAACAGAATTCACCCATGTTTTTCTCGCTCCAAGATTATTGTGAATGATTTGACCCGTAGAGGTTTAAAACTTAACCCTTTGAAAGAGCTTAATAAGCTAAAGATATTAGCAAATCAGAGTTGCTTGGAGGAATAAATCTTAACTATTTTGCTGTTTGGTCTGCACTGATAGTGATCACCATATTAGGATGTCTTATTTCCTTCGTGGGGTTTTGAATATTTAAATGGTGTATACAGTTTGTTATTATACATAATATAATACATTGTTATCTATCAAATTATAAACTCGCGCTAAAATAGCAAACATTTACATTCAAATAAAAATCTAAACCAAAACTAAAATACTGTACTAGACACTTAAACTGCTACAAAAATCATTTCTAACGCAAAGTTTCTAACGAAAACATTACATTTCTCTGGATTTACTGATCAGAAGTGCACAATCTTATAAAAAGTAACAATTTAACCATGTCCTTGCTCGACCTGTACCTGGCCACTCCTCTTGATCTGCACAATAGCGACGACAGTATTGATAGCTGTAGCTATCACCCCGTTGATAGCCCAATAGAATTGTTGTGCGGAATCTGTTTTTTGCCACAAAGTAAATAAATATGGATTAGCGAAGATTGGTTCAAGGACAATGATGTACCGGACTAGACCACATACTCCGAACACAACTGAAATTGTGGGGGTTTATTGTTTATAAGAGGCTGTGAATTCCGGCCTCTGAGTAGAGACAATAAACGAATGAATATACAGACCCAAAAGGTCTGTGGAATAAAATTCTCCCTTTGTAATGACAAAATAGCATAAATAAACTCACATCCTCCACCTCCGGTGAGAAAGATAACAATGGCGACTAATTGTCTCTCTGAAAGTAAACGTATTTTTAGATTAGATTTCTAATTTATGTTAAATTATTTTTTCTCGTTACAAATCAAAAGACATCCCAATAAGACAAATCAAGAAAGTGTTATGAAGAGAAGGCAAATCTTCGAACAGGACATCCAGTTAGGATGATTGTTGAATTGATATCTTACTCACTGTCACTAAAAAGGCTGAACTTGATCTTCCCTGAAATCGTACTCGTCAGTACAAAGTATTTATTACGTGTTACATACCTTATCGGACCTTATTTGAACGAACATTAATTGGACTAAATTATACCATCATTCTTACTGGTTTAGACTGCTTTTCTTGTATAAGAACTTAAGGTCCAAAATTTGGAGTATTCTGAAAATCATGTGAAGAAAATGCAGACCAATTAACTATATAAAAGTTAATTAGTTAGTTAGAATAAATTATGTTTTATTATCGAATCACAGTTAACTAACCATGTTTATGAAGAAGTTCTAACGATCGTATGATAAAGCAAAGTGCACATGACAGCGCCGCCATCAACATCTGAAAAATTTACTTTAAATCTAAATTAATGACTAGATGGGAAAAACTCAGCTAATTAGTTTTAAAAGCAAGGGCAGAGCTATCATTTGACATGCCGTATGGTCAATGTCATTTCCATTAGTACTCAGCTGAAAGATATAACAAAAAGATAAGCTGTGTCTTCAAAAGAATTTTATACGAGCCAAAAATCCCACTCACCATAATAGGTGCCAAGTCCGCGGTAGTGAAACCGATAGAGATATTAGCGAAATACGATACAGCCCCATCCCCGGCCATCAGCCAGCCCAATTTTCTCAACTTATCATGGAGAAAAAACCCCTGTCCACATATTCTGATACTGATCGACATTATGATTCGTCTTGAAAAACAGAAATGACGATCAATAGGCACAAAAGATTCAAGTACAAGGTCAAGAGTAAGTGAAAAGTGGCATGCAACGTATGTCAAGTGAACGAGGTGTTTTTGTTTATGGCAGCTTGCATCGGCGCACGTACAGCATCGGCACAAATGTCGCTTAGTTGCTTCCTTTGCAAGTTATTTTTGAAGAGTTTTTACACAATATTCTGGATTGAGTTGTTGTTGGTGCGCGGCGCGAAACTGTAAACTGGTCAAGAAAATCGTTAATTTCCATCATGCGCGGATGACGGATCGCATTATGTATGGCAGACATGCAAATATTTTGCACTTTATTTCGAGTTAGTATTACTATTACTGATTATGCACAGATCTGTGTCAGCTTCAAACTTGTGTTACTGTTAGCAATGAGCATAAGATTGCATAGAAATAAAATCGATTTTCACAAAATATGATAATCAAATCCCATATTAATTATGACCTCCCCACCAGTATCCACATCTATTAATTTGGAATTTACTGGGCGGCGCTCAGCTCTGTCACTCCGCTATATCTTCATGTTTATGATATGGATTATGTTAGGAATCGTCATCACGGCAGCCGAGCGTCTCTGTGTTTTTCGAGACAACCTGGATTTATTAGATGAGCTGCCCACATTCAAAAACTTTTAAATTTCCTCGCAGATAGTAATTATTTTATGCTTTAAAAAATAAAAATTTACAAGTCATCTAAAAATTTTCTCTTTGACACAAAATTTCCTTACAAATTATCTGCCGATCCGCCGTCTTTCTTGATGTGGATAGATGAGCCATATCAGATGCCCATATGGCAGGATCTTTATGATGATCATTTTTAGAACTTAATGGTCCAGACATGATGGTAGATTCAAATTCAGATTATTATATTTTCAATTTTCCAAACGAAAAATATAATAATAATAATAACAGTAAAATGTTCCAGGGTTCTCCCTTTTTTATCAATTTCGTTATACCACGAGTTCCCAACCCTGCTTCCAGTTCCCTCCGGTTTCAAACCCAACACACAGAACAAATTGTCTCCGTTAACACTGCCCTTCTTATGCTGAAACAACGAGTTTAGACCCAGAAAGTCGCAGTGTTTTTGAGCGAACTGGTCTAGTTCCACGGCCCATCGCAGAAGTTGGACGCCATGTCTTTGATGGTGATTATTGTGTAATTGAATTCTGCTTTACTTGTGCCTGCCCTAACCAGTCCGAGCATTTTACCGGCCTTAACATTCTCGCCATTTGATTTTATTTCAGTTTCCATGTTGTATATTTCTGTATTATTTTGTAAAAGTTTCAAATCAATTCAGCATTGGGTTATCGAAAAATTGTAAAATATATTATTATTATATGTATGTATATGCATTATGCGATATGTATAATACATTGTTATCTATCAAATTATAAACTCGCGCTAAAATAGCAAAACTTACATTTCATATTTACATTCAAATAAAAACTAAACCAAATCTACATACTGTACAAGAAACATAAATCTTAAACTGCAAGATTTATTTACATTCAAATAAAAACTAAACCAAATCTACAATGCTGTACAAGAAACATAAATCTTAAAGTTTAAACTGCAACTAAAAACATTTCTCGCGCATCTGTTTATTAAACAATAATTTCTAACGAACACATTTCTCTGGATTTACTGACCAGAGGTGCACAATCTTATAAAAAGTAACAACTTAACAATGTCCCGTGTGTAACCATGGTAACATGACCAAATAAGGTCCCTACTCGACCTGCTCACTCTTCTTCATCTGCACAATAGCGATGAGACTATTGATACCTGTAGCTGCCACCCCGATGATAGCACATATAAATTGTCCTCCGAAGGCTGAGTTCAGCCACCCTATGTCCCCCCCAGATAAAGTGATGACAAGTTCCACGAGCTGGATATACCGGGCTAGACCACATACTCCGAACAAAACTGTGGGGGAGTTTGTAATGGGTTTGGTAGTTTATAAGGGGTTGTGAATTCCACTTAGGGAGTTAAAATATTCGCCATTTTCCATTTGTAATAAAAAACTAGCTTGAATAAACTCACATCCTCCTCCTCCGGTGAGCATGATAACAATGGCGACCAATTGTCTCTCTGAAAGTAAACGTATTTTTAGATTAGATTTCTAATTTCTGTTATATCATTATTTTGTTGGTGCAAATCAAAAGACATCCCAATAAGACAAATCAAGAAAGTGTTGTAAAGAGAAGGCAAATCTTTAAACTGAAACAGGACATCCAGTTAGGATGATTGTTGAATTGATATATTACTCACTGTCACTGAAGAAGCTCATGTTGATTGTCCCTGAAATTGTACTCGTCAGTATTTAACAGTGACAGTGATACATGTTCTTACGATTATGTCTTAACTTGCTTATCAACTAACGTTTTGCCAAAAAACATTATAATAAGATAAACAAGTCGGAATATTCTGAAAATCGTGCGAAGAAAATGCGGACCGATTAACCAGTAAAAGTTATGTTTTAGTATCGAATCACAGTGTACTAACCATGGTTGTTCAGAAGTTCTACCGATCGTATGATCCAGCAAAGGCCACCTGATAGCATCGCCATCAAAATCTGAAAAATTTACTTTAAATGTAAATTAATTCCTTACTGGTAAAGACATATCTGATTAGTTTTAAAACTAGGACAGAGCTATTACTCTATTATTTGGCATGCCGTATGTTCAATGTAATTTCCATTAGTTCTCCGGCGAAAGCTATAACAACAAATTAGCTGTGGCTTCAAACCCTGGATTTTATAAAACTTTTACTCTTTTTACTAAAAGTTAGATAGAAAAAGTCCCACTCACCATGATAAGCCCCCAGTCCGTGGAGAAACCAAGACAAATAATAATGAGATGCGCTAGAGCTCCACCCCCGGCCATCAGCCAGCCAAATATTCTCAACATGTCAGCCATTGTTGGTTGTGGTTCGTCTTGAAGCAAGGTTGTTAAATACGTATTGGAATACGAATACGTATTATTTCACGAAAATTTGACGTATTTAACAACCTTGTCTTGAAGAACGGAAGTGTGGGTTAATTCAAATGAGTGTGAATCAGATCGTATTCAAGTTATAGTTATACTGAATAGTATTTAACTAAGAATATAATAGCAATTAGTAGGAAAACTATTAAATTCGCGTATGGGACCGTAAAAATATAACGTAAGTCTACTTAAAGGAGGGGTGGTTCGAAAAACTAAAATTTAAGACCTACAGCCAAGCATCTTTAAACCGATCGAAACCAATCTGCTCATTTATAAAATGAAAATTCAAATTTGGACACAAGTCTTGCAATCTCTGTAATAATATAAAATATTTACCTGGGGATCCTAGGCTATTATCAATTATGTTCAATAAAGATTCGGCGGAATGACAGGCTGAGCGCCGCCCAGTAAATATAATATAAGTGTAAACATGATTTAATACTACAAAAACAATGGACTGATTTGAGATTGCACCATCACCATGACAACATGACTGATTTGAGTTAAATTTTCGGATAGCTTGCTGTACTGCTTGAGTTTTTTGGAAAATAACTACGATTAAAACCTAGCAAAAATTAACCGATCAAATGCACTCCTCCAAGAAGCTTATTCAACTTTACGTTGAATAGTATTATAGATCCTCTCAAAATAAATACTGATTTACTAAAACCAAGCCTACACACTAGTAATACAGCAGTTTAGTATAGCAGTGGATTTCCTGAGAGTCCCAACTGCCATTAATAATAAAAGTCGAATGAGATTCCCTAGCAACATCCATCACTTATGTAGTTGGTCCGCTGCAAAGCTGCTTGTTTGTTGTCATGGTGCAATCCCAAAACGAGGGGAATATTTTTGTTTGGTTGCCTTGGCTCCCGCCCATTTATCTCTGGGATCATGATTTATGGATCGCTAATTCAATAGAGCGGATACGCATATATGCCCTTATGAGCATCAATAGAAATACCATACCTATTATATACAGAAAATCAGATGAGTTCAGAGACGCATGATATGCCATTAGCATTACCGTTGCGTATATTTATGAGATAAGATATTTTCAAAATTTTGTTTAGTTTACTTTCGCCATGGTAACTTCAAACGAAATATTATTTTGAAAAGCAGCGTGGGACTGGTTTGATAATTAAATATAAATGATGGACAACTTAATCAGAGTTTAACAGGGTGAACTGTTCGCCACCTGCAGGGTCTGTTGTACAATGTACAATGTACAATGTACAATGTACAATGTACAATGTACAATGTACAATGTACAATGTACAATGTACAAGGGTAAAGGATTAAACCGATCCTCACACGTTTTTTGTCGTTTGTTTCGGCACGAGAGCGGCTAGTTCCACTTTTTATTATTATTTAAACATAATTACTCAACTAATTTTATCTTTCAGTACCTGTTCCGAGCTAAAGAAGTAATCTCAACTAAAATTAACGACGGATCTATCAGCCCCGATTGAGCGACATCTGTCCGACAGCGACATCTGTCCGACGGCGACAGCCGAATTACTATTAGGGATTTCGGACAGATGTCGCTGTCGGATAGCTAGGAGTCGTTTTTGGCGATGTGTCCGAATTTCGGACCATAGTAAACTATCACTATGGCTCAGATCATATCTCAAATCGGAAATGTTACGTATACAACTTAGCAAGTAACAGTTCAGATCATGTCTCTAATTGGAAATGTGTCGTATTGAAATCAGTTCACAATTTCGGACAGATGTCGTTTTTTTCTGGTACCCTAAGTCGGACAGATGTCGCTGTCGGAGTGTCGGACAGATGTCGCTGTCGGACAGGAGTCGTGTTACCTGAAATATGTCTTTAACTTGTTTGATTCTGCACTGCACTAAGTTGATGTTTTACGACAAAAATTTAACGGGGAATCGTTTAACTTTGTTTTTAAGATCACTTTTGACTTCGAGGCACCTCGACAAAAAGCTACTCACGCTATTGTGCTTTTCACGGAGAAATACGGGGGGAGGGGGGGAGCATATATGATATACTTTTTGACAAGTGATACTGATAGCAACTAACCGATAAGCTTCAACTATAACAATCTACATTGACTTGTCGGATGTTGTAGGTTTACAACCTAC